GGGGAAAGCAATATAAAGCAAATATGACAAAATGTTAACAGTTGTTGAATCTAGGTAATGTGCATATGAATATTCATTGTATTATTCTTTTAACTTTTATTTTTGAAAGTTTGTAAGTTTTAAAATAAGAGTTTTACACTTCATTGGCTGTTTGTTGTAAGTGGCAGAATACCTATTTTTAAAATACATGAAGTTGAGGCCAGCAAGCAGCATGGTGCTTAAGGGTACTAGGTTCCCACATGGCCAGATCATAGTTCAAGTCCTGGACCTGGCTGCTTGCTTTCTCTCTCTCTCTCTCTCTCTTTCTCTCTCTCTCTCTCTCTCTCTCTCTCTATATATATATATATATATATATATATATAATCAAATTTAAATAAAGTTAAATAAGGTAATTCTTTTAAAAAATAAAAATACATAGTCTAAAAATAGGACTAAGACACTTCATTTTCCTATAAATTACTTTTCATAGTTTATTGAATGTTCCACATTTTCAATTTGCTTCACATTATATACTTATGCTTTCCATATGAACTGGCTATGAATAATTAATACTCCTAATTAAATAAACTCAAGGGAATACATATTTAAGAAATCAAATAAGTCTTTGCTTTCCACACTTTCTGAACTTTACTCAGCATTCACTGTTCCTAGACATTGGTTCCATTCACCTTTCCTCTGAAAACAATCAGAGAGCAGGGCCTGTCATACTTAACACTCATTGCAAAGTCTGTGGGTGCTCATATTAATTTTTTTATTGTATAAAAAATAAATCTATTTTTCACAGTGTCATAAAAAAATCATGAACTGGTCAGCTTTTGGGGTTTGTTGTTGTTGGAGTTAGTGAAGCACTAGAGAAGTGCCATTGTACCTCCAAGACCCAGAGAAAATAAGAGATTTTTTTAAATGTAACCATAGTGCCTTTTTTCGCTCTGCTCACCAGAGTTTCAGAACACGAGAGCTATATAAAACCGTGAAAAGCACCAGTGTATACACCACCTGCCTCTAAAGTCATCCAGTTTTCCAAATGCACTATTAAAACTGCTGATTAAAACAAGTTACTGAATATTTCTATTCATTGCTGCTTTTGCCAATAATGAAGACCTTTTTCCCTAGTCATATATTTAACCTCAACAATAAATTTGCCATCAGGAAATCAGAAAAATGTGCTTCCTATCATTATAATTTCCACCAAAACATCACATCCTCAATTGATCAATGCTTATTTAAAATCCTTTCTACTTTCATGGTATGAAATCCCTTCAAAATGCATACTATTAAAATGCTTAAATTTGGAAAACATCTGGCATGTCAACTTATTTGGTAGTTTGTGGTTTTAAGTACATCGTTTGAGGTGGTGTTATTTGGAAAAAATTCAGCTATCATTCTCAGGCTTCATAGAGAAGTAGCCCTAAAAACAAATGTATGTGGTAGTTCGCTACTGCCATAGAGAATCAATAGCATCTATTTAATTTGCTAAGACAATGTAAATTAGTAACTTCCAGACAGATGTGAGATATACACATCAAACAAACTGCAACCTGTTCATTATGAAAATCCTGTCAACACACATGAGGCTACTTGATGACATTTCATCTAAAGCAGTTTCCACATTTGCAGCTATAAACATTGTCCTAAGAATTTTTATACAAGGAATTGGAGTTGAGATTCATGAAAGGGTAATCAATTTCTGCTTTGCATCTTGTGTGCTTGTGTATACATGCTTCTGTATGTTTATTTCTATTTTCATTCAGAGGTATAAAATGTTCAGAAAATATCAAATTTAAATAAAGTTAAATAAGGTAATTCTTTTAAAAAATAAAAATACATAGTCTAAAAATAGGACTAAGACACTTCATTTTCCTATAAATTACTTTTCATAGTTTATTGAATGTTCCACATTTTCAATTTGCTTCACATTATATACTTATGCTTTCCATATGAACTGGCTATGAATAATTAATACTCCTAATTAAATAAACTCAAGGGAATACATATTTAAGAAATCAAATAAGTCTTTGCTTTCCACACTTTCTGAACTTTACTCAGCATTCACTGTTCCTAGACATTGGTTCCATTCACCTTTCCTCTGAAAACAATCAGAGAGCAGGGCCTGTCATACTTAACACTCATTGCAAAGTCTGTGGGTGCTCATATTAATTTTTTTATTGTATAAAAAATAAATCTATTTTTCACAGTGTCATAAAAAAATCATGAACTGGTCAGCTTTTGGGGTTTGTTGTTGTTGGAGTTAGTGAAGCACTAGAGAAGTGCCATTGTACCTCCAAGACCCAGAGAAAATAAGAGATTTTTTTAAATGTAACCATAGTGCCTTTTTTCGCTCTGCTCACCAGAGTTTCAGAACACGAGAGCTATATAAAACCGTGAAAAGCACCAGTGTATACACCACCTGCCTCTAAAGTCATCCAGTTTTCCAAATGCACTATTAAAACTGCTGATTAAAACAAGTTACTGAATATTTCTATTCATTGCTGCTTTTGCCAATAATGAAGACCTTTTTCCCTAGTCATATATTTAACCTCAACAATAAATTTGCCATCAGGAAATCAGAAAAATGTGCTTCCTATCATTATAATTTCCACCAAAACATCACATCCTCAATTGATCAATGCTTATTTAAAATCCTTTCTACTTTCATGGTATGAAATCCCTTCAAAATGCATACTATTAAAATGCTTAAATTTGGAAAACATCTGGCATGTCAACTTATTTGGTAGTTTGTGGTTTTAAGTACATCGTTTGAGGTGGTGTTATTTGGAAAAAATTCAGCTATCATTCTCAGGCTTCATAGAGAAGTAGCCCTAAAAACAAATGTATGTGGTAGTTCGCTACTGCCATAGAGAATCAATAGCATCTATTTAATTTGCTAAGACAATGTAAATTAGTAACTTCCAGACAGATGTGAGATATACACATCAAACAAACTGCAACCTGTTCATTATGAAAATCCTGTCAACACACATGAGGCTACTTGATGACATTTCATCTAAAGCAGTTTCCACATTTGCAGCTATAAACATTGTCCTAAGAATTTTTATACAAGGAATTGGAGTTGAGATTCATGAAAGGGTAATCAATTTCTGCTTTGCATCTTGTGTGCTTGTGTATACATGCTTCTGTATGTTTATTTCTATTTTCATTCAGAGGTATAAAATGTTCAGAAAATGTTTGCCATGCTATTTTTCTTCTACAAATCATTTATTTATCCTCATTACATGCTTTTAAATCTGATGTAAAGCGGATCATTTAATTCTGCAGCTCTGAAGAAATGTGTAAAGCATGACAGAGTCAACAGAAGAAAGTACACTTACCCACTGGAAAACAAAACAGAATATTTCAAAATGACTCGAACATAAATTAAGTTTACCCATTGGGAGGTCTAACTTGCATTTGGATCATTTATATGGGTCTGTGTGACTATATACCCTGCTGTTTGATAAAAAATGATTACTAACCACAGGCACCCACCAGAGAACAGAGAGTGTGTGTAATGCTTGTGATGTCTCAGACATACAAAGCACCTTCTTAAAGAATGCCCGCTTCCTTTCCATGGTAAGCAGACATAATTTTTCACCCTTTAATACTTCTGCTTCACAGAGGAGCTTATTTTATGACTTATGCTTTGCCATTTGCCATTTTCTCGTATGTTTATTTTAATAATATGAAAAACTGCATTAATAGAATGGATGGTTTTGTTTCATGATTTCTTTAATACTAGCATTTTCCTGTTCTGTATTAAAATACACAACATTCTCTCTGTTATGAAAGCTAATACATGTATTTAACGCTTTATTAAAATGAAAGAAATTATTTTTACCAGCAATTATTCTTCAGTGCTGAATCCTCATCTAAACAAAATTCATTTTCTTAATCTATTGGATTCAATTTTCTTATTAAACAAGGCACAGAGTAAGTAGTCTTATTGGTAAGCGTAATATTTTTTCAACTACTACAATTTTAATCTGGCAATTTAAAACGACATGGATTCTCATTGCCTATAGTGTAGTTTGATTCCAAACAGTGCCTCTTAACCAGCTTCCTACTGTCAAAATAGCATTTCTACTAAGTGCTGGCATGTAAATGCTTCCAAAGTAAATAATTCCTGAGGGCCTCTAAAATCGCAAGAATTTCAACCTCTTTCCAAAAAAAAGGCAACCTCATACACAAAAAAGGTTCTTCATAAAGCCTTCAACCTTATGCAATTGGACTTTCACAAACATGATGTAAAATGTGCTTTCTTCATGAGCACATATCAGGCCACGTGATCAGCCTCCAAGGCCACACGGATAACCGGAAACAATTATTGTTTCTAGAAAGAGCAAGGCTCAAAGGGGTCTGCTGCAGCCACCCAGTCAGTCGTGCCCGCAGGTGGCACCCAGAAGCAGTTAAAAGGCTCCTCTCTCAGTGAAGCGGTTAAACAACACGGGGCCTGGGTGCCTGCCAAGATTTGCAGCTCCTGTCCCTTTGCTTTCTGGAGGCTAAAGTCAGTCCTTCCTGGTCACTTAAGCCCCCTTTGTGGTTCAGGGAAAGAATCACTCTCTCAGAACTCTTAACTTTGATTGGAGACTCTGGTTAAAATTAAGAACTTCAAACCCCAGATTTGAAAAAGTGAAACAGATGTCCTGTTTGTTAACCATAAATGCCTCCTTACGTCAGATCCTTTCCTCGCGTGCTTTCTTTTTTTTTTTCTTTTTTTCTGCTGCATTAAGTTTTATTTAATGCAGAGTTCGCTTAAAAGGTTGAGAGAGAAGAAAGCAAATTCGTACTGCGATAGAAAAACTTCTAAATCTTTCTCTAGAAAATAAGAAGGACGCCTCTTCAGAAAGATGAAAGCGCTCCACCTGCTTCGTCCCAGGGCAATCTGCTCTGGGATGAACCGACACCTCCAGCCTCGTCTAACCTGACGCCAAGACAGCCACCCGCACCCTCGCGGAGCCCAGAGATCGCCTGGTGTGGGGAGGGAGCCCCAGGCTTGCACTCACGTGAGGACGTAGTTGACGCTGACGATGCAGTGCGGCCTGGACGAGCGGCTGTTGTGCACGACGGTGGCGTAGCTCTGCACCCACACCCAGCCGCCGTGCTTCGCTAGGAACCTGTAGTACTTGGTGGTCACCTGCCCCTTCACCAACACTGGCGGAGAGACGGAAGGCAAATAAATGGTGGTGAACCGGCCTGTTCCGGATGTGAGCACCCTGAGGGCCTAGTAACTGCCCCCAGGCAGTTGGGAAAGACAACCGGCAAATTTGCAAACGAACTGATTATGCACACGGAGTCCTTTGGTCCCTCCTTACAGGATGCTAACAGGGATGATGCCTTTAAAATTAGCAAAGGGAGGAACACCAAGTTGGAGATTTTCCCAGATTCTCTTTTCTAACTACGGAAGGCGGACTCTGGGCTGCTGAACTTGTTTCCCGTACCGGGCGATTAAGCCCAAAGCAAAGCTGTACCAAAAGCCGGGCGAGTCAATGAGTGCAAGTGAAGTCGGCCTCGGTCTCTGTTCGCATTTGCAATGAGATATACAGGTGAGAAATTATGTCAATAGGAGAAAGGGAGTTCGACCAGAAATTCCTTGCCCCTGTCCCACCCCACCCCCCATCTGTATTAACGGCCCTGGACGTCCTAGAAACCAGATGGGTTCGGGTGTCCGAGAACGCCCTCTTGGGGCCTCCCACACTAGGCCAGTACCGACCACCACCCAGCTACCAGGGCTCACTCCCACCTGTCTGCTTGCGTAGTACTTATAACACATCACATGCTACCCGCCCCATTACCCACCCTCCCTCAACCCCCCTCTGGGAACGCGCCAGAGTTGCCTCTAGGTGGCGCCTTACGCAAGTGGTGCGCGCAGCGGAGGTGGAAAGTGTCGCAGCCGTGCACGTGGTGGTACAGGGTCTTCTCAATCAAGTCCTGAGGTTCGTACCCCGTCAACTCCGCCACCCTGCGGAGAGCAATCCCTGCGGGATGAGTGCAGGGATGCGGGAGTGCCTCCCTCCCCCGATGGCTGTTTCTGACCTGACAGCCCGCCTGCACTTCGTAGGCCCAGGTCAGTCACCTCATCTGCAAAATGGGCTCATAGCATCTACGCAAAGCTGTCCCTCACTGCGCAGAGCTGTTTCGCTAGGGGCGGCTCTTTTCGGCCGGCCCACTCACCTGGAGTCCAGGAAGATGAGCTTCATGTCCAGACTGGCCCGGAACATGAACATGTTGCTGTGCAGCTTGATCTCCGTGACGGCACTGGGAGGCAGCGAGTGACCCACGGCCACCAGGCCCACGTTCTGGTAGCAGCCGTCGAAGGGGGACATGTCCAGGCTATACTGGCGGATTTTCAGGTAGCCACTGCAGTGAATGACCTGCGACAGAAGGGCGAGACCCAGCTACAGTCAGGAAGAGCAAGGTGGGGGAAGGGTTTGAAATATGTTGACTTCACTCAGCCTCAAGGCCACCTGTGAGGGCCATGCGCTTGCACTAGGGGTTTCAGAGTTATCCTTGGCCTCTGGAGTGCCTCAAAGAGTGACTGCGCAGTCACAGTGAACCGCTTGGGAACTTATAAACATGCAGCAGGTCAGGACCGTGCCAACCCAATTGCATCGGAATCGCCAAACCCGGCCTTGGAAACTGCTTGCTGACCATGGTTTGATCGCATTGAACTTGAGAATCAGCTTCCGGCTAAAGTTCAGGCTTTTCTTTGGGGATTAAAATCTGACACTATTCCTAAACCTGTAAGATCCACCAAAGTTACCTGAATTCAGAGGCTTTACACACAGGACCCCTACGGGCCATCTTCTCTAGGGGTCACGGATCAAGAGGCCCCTACCATCACCGCTGACCCAGTCACACTTAGTCTTTAAGTTAGTACCGAGGTGTTCACAAAGTTTAGGGAAGTCTGGAGCGTCCCTCCCGCGGCGCCCACGCCCTCTGTCCCGCCCGGTCGACTGCACTGGCGGCCGCTCTGGGTCTGTCTTCCAGCTTAGCTCGCACCTTGTAACCTCCACAGGTGAGGCCCGCGTTCCGCTTGGCCAAGACGCACTTCATTCTCAGGAAGAAGGAACGCTCGATCTCATACTCTGGGGGGAGAGGAGCAGAGGGAGGGTCAGGACGTGGGACTAGCGTGAGTCCCTGTCACGACTAATTGGGGGAAACCACAAACTCACTACAGTGGGCCCCAGCATCGCAGGCACGTGTCCGCCTTACCCTGCACGAAGTGAGAGTGGTAGGGCTGATGAGCTGTGAGCACTGCTGTCATCTCGTCGTGGTCGGCCGGGTGGATGTATTCGTAAATGCTGTTTCCGGTCAGCTCTACCTGTAGAAAGGAGAGCATCACCATCCATGTGGTGGAGGTGGAATGCCTGGTGAATGGGGCAGAAAGTGGTCCTAAGGATGCCGGTGGGGATCTGCAGGTCAGTGAGGGCAGGAGCCAGAATTCCGGAATCGGAATCGCCCTGAGTTCTAATTCCAGCTCTGCTGCTTGCTACCTATTGTAGCCTGTCAAAGCCATAGCTTAACTATACAACAATACCAGTAATAACAACATTATTAAGAGCAGTAGCTCACTGGCAAAGTTCTGGTAAACACATTAAGAGATAAATATGTAATTTCCTGTATCTGGCTATTAGTAGGGACTCAAAAAACTAGCCATTGTTTGGCCCTGAGGGGGAAGCTAAAAGATAAGGGAAGCTGAGTAATGGGGAGATCCAGACCCCTTTAAAGAGTCCTCCCGTCTGCTGAGAAGATTCAAACCCAGAATTATAAATGTACATGATCTGAGAAACCCTCCCTTCCCCATCTCCTGCTTCTAGTTCTGGCTTCAAACACTGCAGGCTGGAAGTTTGGGCCACTCACCTACCTGAGAAAGACCCAGGTGAACTGAGGCTGTCTCTGAGATGTACATGATCTTCCCATCTGGGGCCACCACAAAGATGAAGCCATCCAGTGTCTGGGGAGGCAGAAATAGAGTGAAATGAGAGCCCTCTGGGCCATCTGGAGAAAGGGGGCTGGGGAAAGAAGTTGGAGACAATTAGCCAAAATTGCAGAGGGATGGAGTGGACAGGGTCTAGCAGGAAACAGGGCCTGGCAGGAAACAGGGTCTAGAAAACCAGCCACAACAGTCCTCTCTTTTGTTCATTCCAAATTTGTAAGCATCGGCCGGCAGGTGGCATGGTGGTTCAGGGTGCTGGACTCCAAAATTTGTAAGCATCTGGGTGCATATAGGATATTAGGAGAGATCTAGAGGAAGTGATGGACAGGCCAATGCTCTCCAAGACTCAGCATCCACTGAGAGAGACAAAGACCTATCTTTTACAAACATATATGCACAAAAATTCTGATGGAAAAATATCATAGCCTGTGATAAGAGATCAGTTAGGTTCTTGGAGTGTCAGTGAACAAACCAGAGGTGTACCATATCAACCTTGAAAGGCCTCAAGGTGGTAGTGTCCTTCAATAAAAATAGTAATTGCAGGTTTTGGAAAAGATCTGGTATGGTAGGCCCTGGCCAGAATCCAAGGGCTGGCAATATGAAGTTTGTAGACAGAAGAAACCTGGACAGTGGCTTGGAAAGAGTCTGGAAGAGGCATATTTAGGAGCTGAGAAGCTTTAGAAGCAGCAAGTTCAGAGTAGTGCTACAGCGTGCATGTGTGTATGCGCTTATACTGACATCAAACTGACAGGCTCTCCATGAAGGCATGTCTGATACTTGCACTGTCCCTTTATTTCTTTGAAGAAGGTCTCACTCAGCCCAAATAGTAGAGACAGATAATGAGTCCAATTCTGCTCTCAAGGAAGACCAGCAGGGGCAACTGGCCTGAAGATAGATCTAATGACCACAGAGCTGAATGGGCAATGCTGTCTAGTCAGGGGATTCAGAGGCTGAACCACCAGAGGCTAAGTTCTAATGTTTGAGAAGATACTCGATGAAGAAACTTGGATTGGAGAAGGGAGAAAAACCATCCTAGACAGATAGAACAATGTGGCAAAGGCAGAGACTAGCAGCAAGACAGATCTGGTGTGTTCCCAGGTGATGAGTTTGGTATACCAGAGATTTGACTGAGGAGATACACCTGTGATGGGATTTTTGGAATTTGGAATGTCAATCTGAGAAGTATGGAGTTGCTTCTGTAAGCATCAGGGTTGCAACAGAGATTTCTAAGCAGGTGAATAGTATAGAGGTATTTCGGTCTTTCAGTTGGTTTCTTGCCATTGTTGTTATTCTGGCAGATTGTGACAGTGGCCCACAGAAGAATGAGTGGAGATGAGATCAGAGCAGGTAGCTACAGCAGAGATAGGTTGTCAAGACTGAAACTAGGTGGACCCAACAGTGATGAAAAAAGGGGAGGGGCTAGTTTTGACTGTTGATTTCATGGTAATTGGTGATAGAAAAAGTTTGATTTAAGATTTTAGTAAGGACATTGAGCAGAGGGTGACACCATTAACCAAGACTGAAGATCTAAGGATGAATACTGAGCTTTTTCACAAATACAACTCTAGAGGAAGCAGAAATGCATTCTTGTCTTGGAGATGCAAAACTCCAGGTTCATGCAGAGTTCCAATTATATGTTGCCAGTACAGTGGAAATAAGGATCTGGAGCTTAGGAGGAGAGTCTAGACTAGAAAAATTGGCTGGGGCCATGAGGAGAATGGAGTTGAGGTGGTGATGTTAGTTGAGATCACCCAGGAGAAGTTAAAGCTGTAAGAGGAGAAACAAAGAAAGAACCTTGGGGGAATTACAACATCTCCAGGCCAGCCAGTGATGGGAAAATCAAAGAGGAGCTGACAAGGGGGAAAAAAAAAATTCTGGGAAATGCTTTTATTTTAGAAACCAAAGAAGGGAGAGCATGTCTAGTCACCACGTCACCTCTTTCAGGTCTTTGCCCAAATGGTACCTTCTCAATGAAGCTCCTTCTGATCATTCCCATTTTAAATGGCATCATTTGAACACAGCCCTTCTTTTTTTCCCTTATTTTTTGCCATAGCAGCCATATTATGTTATACCCCATGCAGTAGACCTATGTGGCTGTCTCAAGTTTCTGTCCTTTTAATGTAAACTCCAGGGGGGCTGGCAGGTAGTATGGTGGTTAGGGGCAGTGGACTCCCACATGGCCAACCATGGTTCGAGTCCTGGACCTGGAGGCTTGCTTTCTCACTTTCTCTTTCTCTATCTTGCTTTTGCTCTCACTCTGTCCCTCACTGGTCAAATTAAAGTAAATAAATAAATAAATAAAGTTAAATAAAATAATTCCTAAAAAAAAGTTTAAAAAGAATGTAAACTTTGAGAACCAGCAGTTAGCGTAATGACTATGTCGCTGTACTCCCACATATTCGACCACAGTTTGCGTCCCGGACCCTGTGGCTTAAAACTCATGCCGGGCACGTGTGCTTGCGTGCCCAAGATCCCGAGAGGAGAATGGAGGAGAAGGGATTGCGGCGTGACCATCCCCCCTGGGGGGTGATTTCTCACTTTCTGTCTCTATGTCTCTGTCTGTCTGGCGAGCGCAAGCGCCCTGTAGCAAAAAAATCTCTCCAAAAAAAAAAGTAAACCCCATAAGGGTACCGCTTCCTGCTTGGCATGCAATTTGCCCTCCCATATTTGTGAACTGAATTAACTCAGGATAAGAGATGTATATCCAGTTATTGATATCGAAATGTGGAGCTTGTGCAGAGTGGGTGGGAGAGATATTAGGCTGCAGGGATGTGGGAGTGAATGTGGAGGGGGATGAGCCATTGAATTGGGAATATAAATCATGCCAAAAAAAGAAAGAGATTAGGCAAGAGCTATTTAGAAAGAGTGAGAAGTTTTGGATTTTTGCTCTTGTGTTTATATTGCAGAGGGAAATTTGTTAAGAATATGAAAAGTCTGGGAAGGGGGGATGCAGGGCCATCTAATAGAAGTTATCTTAAAAAAAAGTAATTTTAACACCTTTTTGATAAGTTCAGAGGTGTGGAACCCAGGTCAGTAAGGAGTGCTCACCCATGCCCTTTTTATGTTCATCCTAACTAAAATATCTTTAGTCTCTGGGAGGGAGGGAAGAACTGGATAGGGGTGGGACAGGAAATGCTGTGGGGTCCTGCCAGAAGATGGGAGAACTGGTGCAGATTTCTCCAGGCTGCTTAGGTTTGAGGCTCCCACACAAGGAGTGGACTTGCCTAATAATAAAGAGGGCGCAGCTGGGGGACAAGTGTCAAACCTAAAAATGCCTCCAGGAGTTTTACTATTTAAAATATTTGTTCTGTGACTAAGTGGGCAACAGGCAATTTAAAACAGTGTGCACTGCAAACAAGGTACTGGGCGCCTCACATTGCTTAAACGCATTACCTAGGGGTGTGAATGTGTGGAACCCAGGGTCAGTGGCCTGGGGTGAGGGCGTTGCTGGGAAAGGAGGAAAGGCGCTACGGAGAAGAGATGAAACCAGTTACAGATGCAGGCGGATGTGAGATCTACGTGTTCTAAGTACCTGATGGGCATTTCTACCAGGCTCCTGCTATTTCCTTTGTAAATCCTTCATTTCGGAAGGTTCTGCAACCCTCTTCCGAAGCCGACCTCGGCAGTTCCCTTAGCAAAAGGGTGACAAATGGTGTGTCCCTCCCACTCCTTGGTCCTGCCGCCCTGTGGGACCTTGCTGGGCTACCTTCCAGACCCAAAGTCTTAGTTGTCACCCTCTCGGCCTCGTGAGGCGCCATTAACACCCAGAGACGTTCAGAGCTCAAGTTTCAACTTTGGAGGAGTCTTTAGGTGGTGAGAGGTCTAGTTCAGGCTGGATCTCATTTTTTTTCCTAGAAATTAGAAGCCCAGCGGAGGGCGAGGCACTCGGGCCCTCGATCCGTGTGCGCCGCTGCTGCTAGTCCTGCGCCTATACCTGGAGTAGGTGGGAACCCAGTTCGCGGCCAACGTTGTCCAAGGGGCTGGTCCGACTGGAGTGACCCCACGCCTCGCCGAGCCCTGAGGAGACAGAGACATCATTAGCGACGGAACCTCGACCCAGCTGGCGATTTGGAACTAGAGCCTTGGTTAAGCCGCACGCGCCCGCGCGCACGTGACCAGACCTGCGCCCGGCTCACCCCTTCCCCGCCCTCACCCGGGCTCCTGCCTACCCAGATAGCCGGGATAGCAGCGTGTGGTTTCGGCCCTGCCTCTCAGCTTCTGTTCCGAGGCCCGACTCCCTCCCCCGGACCAGGCAGGGTTTCTCCGGTAGGACAGGGCCTCACCGAGTGTCCCCTCACCTCCCCGGCCAGCACCTCGAGTGACCAGGTGCCTTGTGGAAGCCCCTGACACCACACCCCAGAGAGAGCTTTTGCGTGGGTTCACTGGTGTATTTACGGGAATAAAGGGCATTATCGCCCAAAGTTTTCTTCATCACCCTTCTCAGCGGCCAAGTCAGAAGGCGTCCCCACACCCAGTGCTCGCGCCTGCGGGCGCGGAGCTACCCGAGAGCAGCCGGGTCCGCCTGGTCCCCGGCGGGCTTCCTGATTGGCTGCGCGGTTCTCCAGCTGTTCTCCTCCCCTCGGCTTCCGACCTTATCCTCGTCGGAAAAATCCCTCTGCTGGCGGGTGACTTCGAGCCTCGCGTTTACCTGCACCCCCGCGCGCTCCTCTTCCGTCTTCCTTTGCCCCCTTAGCTCGCGCCTAAAGTATACCTCACCTCTCCCCACCCCCCACCCCCCCAAAAAAACTCGCTCGGCTTTTCTGGACTCGGTTACGTTGAGATGCTAACAACTTCCTAGCGATACTTTGGTTTCCTTCTACACGTGCTCGTTCGATTTCTCTATTTTTCAGGCGCCCTCTCCCATTAACAAAGACAGTGCCTTCCTCTCCTGATACTACCACGGTAAGGTCTTCCGAGGCTTTGCCACAAACAATTGTCCTGTAATGCCTAAAAGATAACAGGATCTGCACGACTGACTTAAAAAAAATTAATATGGTCTGCTGTAGTACCTGTTTTCAGAAAGAAAATAAAAGTAAGGCCAAAGAAACGTGCATAGACCTATGTTAAACTGTTTATGGGTAGTACCATTCAACAGTTCTGCTGCTGCAATTATTTTAACTAAGTAGTTAAATCCTTTTATTCTTACACTATTAAACAAGATTTAACGTAACTCCCCCAACTGGTTCATTTACTTCGTTAAGGGGCAAATCGTCGTGAACTACGCAACGACAAACACATTCACATTGTAATATGGGCTTGGAGTGGATCTTTCAGAATAAAACAAGGAGTTGGACTTTCAAAAGGTGTTGGCCAGGAGCTGCTTCTGTAAGCAAGCGATCAAAAACCCTGGCAACCAGTAACCGTGAGCGCCTCTTAAGCTCGAATCCGGTCTTTCTTGGTGTTTGCACATCTAAATAAATCTAACGATTTCCCCACCACTCTGCAAACACTGACGTTCCCCGCCCGCGCCCGGACTCCTCTCCCTCCCTCGGGCCGGGTCAACCCCTCCCGCATCTTTAGCCCGCCCCAGTTCTCCCCGGAGCGACTACCCTGCTCAGATTCTTGTGGTCCTCCTGGACCGTTCAGGGAGGGCCCCCTCCACAGCCACCTGTACACACCCCCTTCGCCCTGTCACTGTCCCTTTGCGCTCCTCCTGACTCAGCCAACCTATCCTCCTTAGTGCCCGGCTTCTTTTCTTTTCTTTTATTTTATTTAATCTCCGCTCAGACATACCCACCCAGGAGTGGAGAGGGGTTGGCTGTGGAGGCTGCACCGGAGAAAGGGACAAGGACCTTGTTGGGAGAGCCAAGTACGCAGGTGGCGCCAGCCCTTGGGCGCCCTTGGCCTAGCTGAGACCTGAAATCCCCGTGCTCCGAGGGGCGCAGGCCTAGGCCCTCCGGCTCACCCTGAGCAGGCCGAGCCAGGGTAGGGTCGGGAGGCTTCTCTGGCGCAGCTCGGGAAGGGTGAGAAGCCTGCTCCAAGGGCCAAAGACCGTCTTTAAGAGTTTGAGAGTCTCCCAAAGCTGCTAGAAGGCGCTCCGGAGAGGCCTCCCGACCCGAATGATCTGAAAATCCCCCGGGCCCGGCTCCGGGTTAAATACCGGTTCCGAACTCCGCGCGAGCGTCCGCTGTTTGTTGTGGCGGGTTGTGGCCTCATTAGTATGCGCCTACCAGGGAAAATAAGACTTCCCCACAGGTTAATAAACAGCCCGTCCGGGTGCAGGTTAATAGGGGCCTCCCTCGCCCTCTGCTGCCACCCCCACCCCCACCTTTTAAGGAACCTTTTGCTTTCACGGAGCGTTGCCTTCTCTTTATGTTCCGGATCGAAATCTCCGTCACACGGTCGAGTCTGGGTTAATGTTTTCTAAGGAAATGACTGCCCTGTCTACCTGTCCAGCTTCCCAGATCTAACGCCAGGACTGAGCTCCGCCTAACGAGTGCCAAGGACACCTCCCAGAGCCCCAGTCAGGGGTCCCTCTCTCCCAAAATTCTTGAAGTGGACTGGAGACCCTTTTCCCGATCTCCCTTGCCTCCTGTTTTTTTTTTGGTGATTTACTCCGGCACCCAATTTCAGTTGGCGAGGGGGTAAGCTGAGATTTCGTTTCTGCACTTGACCTACCGCAGAAAATTCGCAAATCCTTTGATTGTCTGTTTAAAATGAGGAGGAAACCAGTTCCCTTTGCAGCGGGATTACAGTGGGAACAAGATCTAAAGATTCTCTTGTAATTCGGTGAGGCCGCGGGAACAGGGTTTTGCAAAGGAGAAAAGGAGCTCTGTGAGGGAGGCGATAACTAAATCGGGTTTTAAACAAAAGGATTTTCTTCAGCTAAAGTGGCCCAAGACAAAGAAAAACATAATCTATTTTGGAAGATTTCCAAGATATGCCACATTAACCTTAGCAGATAAATTTTGCTTCTCCCAGGCCCCCCTTTTCCCTTAAAGTCTGGTTTATCATATTTACATAAGTAGCATTAGAAAGGATGTGTCTATTATGGATCTAAAGGGCTAGCTCACATTTCATGCGAAAACCCGGGCAAGTTTCACTGTTGCTTTACCCTCGGTGCGAGGTTGAGCCATTTCCATTTAAATACCCCCTGACCCAAGGATTACCTCAATGGACTGACTGCACGGGTTTTGTAATTTCCTGAAAATGAGATTTCGATTTATAAAACAAGAAACCAATTAGTAACCAAATGAGGCGAAGTAGATCCACTAAAATTGACCTAATCCCACAGGCACCATTTAGGCCCATTCTTGGCGAATGAATGATGAGCCCCAGTCTAGCGTGAGCTCAAAGCATCATCCAGCTGTGTTATTGCAAGCAGCAAAAATAAATTGATCGAGCTTTTCTTTTGGAATGAATTTCATACTCTTGACAAAATATAGATTACAGGCCCGGCATCATGGCCTCCTTTACTCGGGCTGGAAGAGGATGAAGAACTTGTCCTACTGTTATTTTCTTTCTTTCTTTTAATACATAAACACCAGATCTCAGTAGAAATGTGTAGAAATGTGTTCTTGTAGTCCTTCCGGGGAACCTTTATCTCCCCACTGACTGGTAATATGACTTTAAGAGAATTAGGGCAGGTTGGTGGCAGAGGCCACTAATTTAGTTTAACGCTCTGAACACAACTTGGTGATTGAGGCAGGGAAAGCCTGTCCAGACCCAACTTCTAATTTCTGTTCCAGAGCGGCTTATCTCATACATCAGGGTTTCCAGTGGGCAGAGGGTGTGAGGAGGTGGCTGGTCCATAATCTTGAAAACCTCTAAACCCTACATATCTGCCAGGGCCTCAGACCTTGCTAAAAGAGCAAAGCCCAAGGCTTCAGGCTGAGGCACTAAGCAGCCTTCCTGTGCAGCTCCAGGTGCCTCTGAAGCTGGACTCTTCAAAGAAGAGAGGGACAGAGAATGAGTGCTCTCAGCCTGGGTCCAATTCTAAAGTAGACACTGAGCCACTGAGCAGGGAGACCACTTCATACACAGGGTGCCGCGGCTGCTCCCCTGCACTGCTCCCCTGCTGGCCAGCCAGCGGCACTCTGGCCTGCTGTATTTCAGCTCCAAAGGGCATTCTGGTCACTGCACTGGGCCAAGTCTCGTCCTTACAGATGCCTGGACCCCACCAGTGTCCCTGTCCTCAGCAGTGCGATGCCTGTCCTCCCTGCCTGATGGACACCCTGGGGTCAGAGACCGTGGCCGCTGGGGGTAATACTAACATTAGAGGAACCCATAGTCACAGTGCTGATCCTCTCTCTCAGTCCTTGTCTGCTCCATCCCGAGTAGAACTGAGTCTGCGGATCCGGGCCGACTCCAACCCAGAGCAAATTGGGCAAGAGCAGCAGAAAATAGGGGAGGGTGGAGTTCAGCCAGGTGTGGATAAAAGTTGGGACAAAAATGCACCCGAAGTTGACAAGAACGTTCTGCATGGCAGCTCAAACGCATCAAGTGATGTCGCCCCAGGAGTCCTGTCCTTCAAGGAGACCCGACCTTAGCGATCTCCCGATCTCCCTAGAGGCACCCTCCAACTAAGCTGGGCCCAAAGCACAAGCGGCCTTCTTTGGTTCCTCTTTAAGCGAGGACTGGGACCCAGGCATTGAGCCAGCTCTCCCGGCAACCACCATATCAGACCCTACCAGACGACCTTTCTTACCGCAGTAGTTGGGGCATCACCACCCGCTAGAGACACACATTCAAGCCGGGAACTTGCTTCCAGCAAGGTGCTGAAACCTCCCCAACCCTCCGGAGGACAGAAGCCCTGCCCAGCATGCGAAGTGAGGGTACTGCCTGGTTTTCGAGTTGATTCCACCGCTGTAGCTACAGTGGAGAGATACCCCACGCAGACCTGGCTACATGCTTCCATCAGTGCAGGAGGCTTGGTACCGGCCTCAACACGATGGTTGACTGTCCCAGGTCTGAGACCAGGGACTCAGCTGGGAGCCACCCAGCCGGCAGGGCTACCTGCAGAACAAAGTTTGCTCCGCAATACACATGATCATAGCACTTCAGAGTAGCAGTCCATT